GGGGAGTTGGTTGCTAACTGCATGAAAGACGAAATGAATTGTGACACTTAAATCACCAAAACATCAGTAAATTAAAAGACATCAAGCAAAAAAGTGAAGCCAAATTGTGAAAAAACAGCATTTATGTGCAGATACAACTTGGTCTGATATTGTATCTAATGCAGTGACATTAATTTTGTTTAAGAGTCCAAATTCGTTTCGAGGCCACTGTATATTGTACGCAATTACATTATAATCATTAGGAGAGAGTTGTTCATTATGTGAGGTTTTGGGCTCAAATTGTTAGTTTTCTTAGAAACAGATTTTCTATTTTGGCTATCCACCAACACTGCAGAACACTATACACTCACAAAATCTACCCCAATTAATGAGATTTAACAAATCATAAGCCTTTGAGGATGAAAGGCCTTTTTTGTCAAGCCTGCTCTGCTAACAAGTTTCAATTGAATCTTCCACAAGCGAACAGCCCCAGTCTCCCGGTGTTATGCAACAGAGCTGAATTGTTTGGCTGCAGCCCAATGTTAGACATGCCTTCGTTTAAAGCCCCACTGGACCAAGTACGCCAGTAAAGAGTGGTTGTTTGCACTGCCAGTCACTTTCACCCCCACACACACACACCACCTTTGAACACACCAAACCCTCTCCTTTGCACACTACAGTAGCTTTCCATTGTCAGCAAGTCACGTTACACCAACAGGGCCAACCTGTTCACAGACCTGCACTTACACGTCACAATGTAGGACCTTTTCTCTATATAAAGCTTAATGTATGATAAAAAAGCAGGTGAAAAATTGGCTCACTTGAATGCTTCTTTTGTTCTGAGATTTTCAGTCTTATGACAGCATTAAACTGCCATGCATTCTCTCCTGTCACCAGACGCAACATAGAGCACATAAGGTTATATAAATGAGCGACGTTACAGTAAATGATAGGGTAAATGTTAGGGTACATTAAATGTTTAATTTCTTCAGTCTTAAGTTGTCAGAGTGAACACATGTGACTTATCTAGGCCAACATTATCCAACATTTACCAATGGCCGTGACCTTGATTCAGTGTCAAGGGAGCAAAGTCCCTTTTGGAGTAAGATAAGCATTGCGTGAGAAGAAAAGGCCCTGCGCTCACATAAAAAAAACAACACAAACACAGCAAATTAAACATTCTCGGGGGTTTCAAATGTTTTATTAAGCAAAATCGACATTTGCACCGGCAATGCATTCACACTTGTTCATTCTAACATTATAAGTGATGTTTTAAGACTATAAAATATTGTGTAAATATACATGGATTTACCCTGAATGACAAAACATAATCCCCCCCCCCCCAAAAAAAAAAAAAAAATTATATAAATATAAGAGCATACTGACCTGTCAGGTTCATTAAAGTTTCTGTCAAGTGATTGATATCGCACAAAAAAAAAATCTATTATCTGAGATGTGAGTGAAGATTCAGCAAATATGTACTCACACGCACACTAGTGAATGAATCTCACGAAAACAAGCCTGGGTCACATTCCACCACAAAATCAAACGAAACAATCTACTGTGTGCTGCCAGCCAATAGGCATTTCCGAGATTTCTTGAGATTTAATTCTTAAAATGAATTCTTACATTTTGATTTGTATTACCATAATACGCCCAGACTTTTGACTTAGTTTTGTAATTCACATTATAGGCCTACTCAATGATGATTCATTAAATTATTAGTACTTCTGACGCATTTACCTTTGTATGGCAAAATTCTGCAGGACAAAATTCAGTCATCTCAGTAATCTGCATGATTAGGAATTTCACTTGTGGGACGTGTTCCCCATGTGGATTGCACAACGGATTTGAGAAACTTTTAACTATTGACAATTAGCACTATTGACAATGAGCCTTCTTTGCATGTGAGATTTTGCATGTGTACATATTAGCCAAATTTCACAGTTAAAAAGGGTTAATTGTCTATTGTTGTTAGTCTTAAGATGTATGAAGAACAGCTAACACAGAAGTCACTTTCAAACCTGAACCCGTTGCGAAATCTGCGTGGGGAAATCTTTGGCCCTCGCGTGAAATTCCTCGCTAAAATTTGCTGGACAATGGTAAATATGATCAGTATGCAAGATTTGCTAATTTAACCATGCCTCAAAACGGTGTTATTATGATTAAAAATATATTTTTAAAAAATCATAATGCAATTAAAATCAGCACAATGTGATGTGTAAATAATTTATTAATTTAAATATTTTTTCACATTAGGGTCATAAGAATTGGGGGACATGTGCTTAATTATATAATTACTTAAGTATATATATATATATATATATATATATTTATATATATATACAGTATATGTATTTATTTTTTTGACATGTCAAGTTTGTTGAAATGTGACTGTGGGCAATAACTGATTTGAATGCCGTTTCTGAAGCTCTGCAGGAGGATATCTACAACAAATCCACATATATTTTGCACATCTTAATAATCTTACCCATCCGGAACCATCTCTGAAAACGTGTCATAAAAAAACTTTCAGCAACTTACTGTAGACCAGGCGCTGCTTTTGCCATCTGTAAATTAAGCAGAAGGGTTACTCTTACCTGCTCCTATGCCTCTTTCTTCCTCTTCTTCTGTCTGTCTCAAACCCTCATACTCATGGGTCTCTCGCTCGCTCTCGCGGGGTCACCGAAACAGATGTTAGCTTTCTGGAGACACACTGTCGAGGCTGGGATCGACCTGCCAGTCTGAGAGCCCATAACTGTTCGTCTGTCTAGGCCTGGAGGCCTTTCTAGGCTCATACACAACAACACGCGCTCAGGACAGCTGCACTCGCTTTCAGACTCAATGACGCACTAAACTTCATTAGGAAAGTCCTTTTTTCTCCAAATAATACACTTAAGGCCACAACATATTACAAATCATATTTAGGACTGTTCTGACAATAGCGTTTGATATCATACTATGTTTCACTCTCAGTGCTCACAAGGGGTTGAGAATGAAGGACTGTGTGTCTGTGGAATAATGTGGAGTGTCTGACTACACTCTGTCGTGGCTAATGTTAAAGACTGCACGTGTCTGCTGCAATCAGAGCTATAACTGGCAGATCTTGGCCCCTCGCACTCTTTCTCAGTAATCTTTCCTTTCCTTCCCACTCCTCTCATCTCTCCTCATCACCATGTAACTCTGGATCTGAGGCCTGTTGAACAGACACAGGGTAAACATCACAAGTCATCCTGTGTTACACGTCTGCAGAGTCTGTGTGATCCAGAGGCGGCGCTGAACTTGCCACAGACAAACAAATCTATTAATATCTCCTGGATCCGCCGCCAGAGCCATATCCACCTAAATATAACAATGCGCACGATCAGGCTCACACGCAGTGGTTTCACTTTTGATGTGGCATGCAGTGTACTGGATTTTCTGTACCACCAAAAAAAAAAAACTGTGTTATTAGCAGAACTCATCCAAGTCCTAATGTAGATATAATTCAATCCACATTTTTCTGTTAATTATTAAATTATATAAAGATTGTATTGTTAAAGAAATGCATTGTTCTGTTTAGCAAGTGTGCATTAAATTGATCAAAAGTGACACTACAGACTTTCTATTCATCAAAAAATCCTAAAAATAAATGTATCATGGTTTCCACAAAAACATTAAGAAGCTGAACTGTTTTCAACATTGATGATAAGAAATTGTCAAATCAGCGTAATAGAATGATTTCTGAAGGATCATGTGACACTGAAGACTGGAGCAATGATGCTGAAAATTCAGCTTTGATCACAGGAATAAATTACATTTAAAATATATATTCAAATAGAAAACAGTTATTTAAATTGTAATAATATTTCACAATTTTACTGTATTTTCGATTAAATAATTGCACCCTTGGAGAGCATAAGAGACTTCTTTCTAAAACATTAAAAAATTCATTCTCCAAATTCCAAAAATCAACAAAGTAAAGATTCAATTGAATGATTCATTGCCCCATGTTACTAGAAAAAAAAAAAGATTTAAAGATTCGTCTCCATCTTTAATAAAAACTTGCTTCGCCTCTGAAACAACTTCCTTTTTGGAAGACATCACTGACCCTCTTGTTTTTAAACCCGCCTGCCAACCTCCGCTCAATTTGTCTTTGCTTAAATGATAAAGTACCTCCAAAATTTCCTCTATCGTTGTAGTTGTCATATCCTCCAAAGCCCCCTCCACCTTGGTTACCGTATCCAGGACCGCCACCGTATCCTCCACGTCCACCTCCACAGCCAGGACCCCCACCATAGTTTCCACCCACCACCAGAGACACAAGCATAAACATGTATTTCAACGCTAATAATTTCAGTCTGAGCTTCATGAAATAAGAGTGATTGATTGATTGATTGCGATGGGTTAACACAGTGGTTCCCAACCCTGGTCCTGGAGGCACCCCAACACTGCACATTTTGCATGTCTCCTTTCTCTGACACATCAATTTCAGGTCTTGGAGCAGGGGTGCCCAAACTCGGTCCTGGAGGGCCGGTGTCCTGCAGAGTTGAGCTCCAACTTGCCTCAACACACCTGCTGGTAAGTTTCTAGTATGCCTATAAGAGCTTGATTAGCTGGTTCAGGTGTGTTTAATTGGGGTTGGAGCTAAACTCTGCAGGACACCGGTCCTCCAGGACCGAGTTTGGGCACCCCTGTCTTGGAGTCTCTACTAATGAGCTGCTGATCTGAATCAGGTGTGTTTGATTAAGGAGACATGCAAAACATGCAGTGCTGGGGTGCCTCCAGGACCAGGGTTGGGAACCACTGGGTTAACACATAGGTTAGCATAATGAAAAACTGTTTTTCAGCTCGGGAAATTTTCCTATGCTTATCCATCCTCGATTTCACCAGTGACTAAAAACAAGGCAGCCATTTCAAAAACATATTGTTCTGGCAAAGCCCACATCGGTGCAAATCTGGCATGAATTTAACAGCTAGTTTTACAAGGGAGTGTGGATTTAGTGATCCCTGCTCATATTAGTATAATGATACTGTCCCCACCAAATCCATTGTATCCATCTCCTCCTCCACAGCAACCCCGGCCTCCTCCATACCCTCCTGTGAAAGATACGGCATTCACTGTGTTTTTACCACAGGACTATTCACACCTGAGGCGCTACTGTACAAACTGCAGATGTAATCGACACACAGGATCAGATGTACAGGATCGCATGTCATCTTACCTCTGCCAAAGTTTCCTCCTCTGCCCATGAAATTGCCTCCACCGCGATCTGACAACGGAAAAGATCCAAAACAACATGTTATATATTATTACCTATAACAACTTCACATTATTACTGTAACATTGCAAACCTCCAAACCTGTCAAAATGTATATTTGAGAATCAGAATAGGCAGTTAGATACGAAACATATTACTTACATCTCTGATTAGAAACAGCTCGCATCTCCAGCTTTGGAAGTGCTTTTTCTTAATTCACAGTTATGCGAGTTGATTGTGTGATATTTTGTGTGCTGATGAAAAAGGAAAAAATTTTTTTTTTAAAAAGCAAAACAGAAATCTGTTTGCTCAGCTGCTGAATAAAACCTGTAAAAACTAGTATTTCTCGCTGTTCTAACATAACATCATGGACACATGACATGCCCATGAACTTTTATACAACAATATCACGATTTTAGGTCAAAAAAAAAAATCAATTTATAAGGGAACATGTTCATTTTAGAGTTAATTTGAATCACTTAAACGGTGTTTTGTAAACATTTAAATGTTTCACTTGAATAACAAGTTCATAAAAGCTGCATGTACAATAATTAAATATGAAGCGTCTCTATCTAGCTTTAGAGCAACTGATTCTGTTGTAGTCAGTGTCTGGCAAATGGTTTCCATCTAAGCTCACCAACAGTTTTATCCACAGTATCGTGCTCATCAAAGGTGACGAAGCAGAATCCTCTCTTTTTCGCAGTTGAACGCTCCTCCATTATATCAATAATCTCTATTTTCCCATAGCGCTCAAAGTGCTCTCTGATATGATACTCCTCTGTGTCCTCTTTGATTCCACTGACAAGGATCTTTTTCACTCTCAGATGGGCTCCAGGTTTATTGGAGTCCTGGATAATGAAAGTTATCTTGATTAAATTTATCTTCATTAAGTAATTTTAGGAAAGGTTTGTACGGAAGGACATTTCTGCCGGAATCAAATTTACAAAAATGTTCATAATCTTATCTTTTTTTGACTTCTTGTCTCACAATTCTGACTTCATTTCTCAGAATTGTGAGTTAACAACGCACAACATAAATTTCTCACAAATGTGAGTTCCTAGCACAAAACTCACAATTCATTTCTCACATTTCAGACTTTTTTTTTTTTTCACAGAATTGCGTGTTTATATCCTGCAATTTAGATTATGACTCAGAATATTCTGAATTTTTCCTCTAAATTCCCCCACTCGTAAAAAAAATACAGTAAAAAAATTTAAAAAAGCCAGAATTCTGAGAAATAAAGTTTATAACACAATTATGAGAACAAAAAGTGGAGAGATATAAATTCTGAGAAAAAAAGGCAGAATTGCGAGATGTTCACTCAAAATTGTGAGATATAAACTCATAACTGCGGGTCAGAGTTCTGACATAAGTTGGTATTTTTTATTCCATGGTGGAAAAGGGCTTCCACAGGACTGAACATGGGCAGCTGACAAATAAAAGAGCTCACATCAAGATTTCAAAAGGTATAAAGAGTGTACATTTTACTTGTTGTGACTAGTCACTATTTATTTAAAGTTTCATTTTATTATTATTTTTTTTTCCTTTTTTTAATTTTTTCAAACCATCCTGGAGTGTGACATCTGAATTTAAATTAGTACAAGTATTCTCTCACTTGATATATAAAACATAAAATACATAAAAACTGCACATTATAAAAGAATTGCTATTACGAAAGTTTTTAGATAAAGCACACTCCAGGTTTGTTTGGCTGATTGATTCTGATTGGCTGATTTACAGACGTCCAGAGGGGATAATTACGGTACAGTTCGCCCAAAAATAAAATTGATGACAATTTGCTCATCCTGAGACTATCCAAGATGTAGATGAGTTTGCTTCTTCATCAGATTTGTAGAAATGTAGCATTAGATCACTTGCTCACTAATGGATCCTCTGCAGTGAATGGGTGCCGTCAGAATGAGAGTCCAAACAGCTGATAAATACATCGCAATAATCCACAAGTAATCCACACCACTCCAGTCCATCAGTTAATGCCTTGTGAAGCGAATAGATGAGTGTTTGTAAGAAAGAAATCCATCAAGACGTTTTTAACTTCAAACCCTTGTTTAATCAGGAGAGAAAAATGCACAGTTTAAGCACCGTTTACAAGCAAAAGGAGTCCAAATCAGATATGTTGGTGGCTTTCGTTGTGAGAGGACAACAGAGGGATGGACTCTTTCAGTGGAGGAAGCGTTACTATGGAATTTGGAATCATGTTTTGGCCAGAAGTAACGGTTTTCGGATTGATAAGCTAGCTATTACTAAATATAATGTAGAAACTTGAATTTTCTGTAAAGCTGCTTTGCAACGATTTGCATCGTGAAAAGCGCTCTACAAATAAACTTGAATTGAATTGAATTTGTTTCTTATAAACACACAGCTTTTCTCTTCACCAGATGTTAACTGATGGACTGGAGTGGTGTGGATTACTTGTAGGTTGTTGTGATGTTTTTCTCAGCTGTTTAGACTCTGTTTCTGACGGCACCCATTCACTGCAGAGCATCCACTGGTGAGCAAGTGATGCAATGCTACATTTCTCCAAATCTGATGAAGAAACAAACTCATCTACATCTTGGATGGCCTGAGCGAGGGTACATTTTCAGCAAATTTTCATTTTAGGGTGAATTATTTCTTTAAGCAATATCACAGGAGCAAGAGGGTTGTATGTGGCCACAAGACTGAATATCAGCATGGCTGCGATTGCACTGATTTCAATGGTGCGTTGTTAACTATTCCTTCTTAAAACTGGCAATAGCATTATAGATTCATACACCATGGTATTTACATGGCACTCCAAGATGCTTCACACAATACTCTGATACTTTCTGTACTGTATTGACATTTATTAATTATTATTATTATTATTATTATTAAGGATGGCTTCTAGCTGTCTTCTTCCTGACACATAGCGAAGTGAATACAATTAGTTATAAAGCAAAACTTGAATGTGATCTGATGGTCTCTCACCACACAGTCAGTGAGTTTGCCCCATTGCTCAAAGTGAGCTCTGTGAACAGCTTCCTGAGCTGCTCTGGCTCCTTACTGTCACGACTCTGTTCACATAAAACACACAATTAGGCCTAATGATCAGACTTGAACTTTCGCCTTTTTAGAAACCTGCGTCATTAGACAGATAAAACTGGCGCTGCCCTCTATATTGCATAATGCTCCAAAGCTATTAAATGAATTGTTTAAAGCCGATAATGAGATGTTTATTTATTACAACATTCAGCCCCCAGAGCTGGTTTGGTTTTGTGAGGTTGTTCACGTGGGATTGATGGATGACATCCGGCCGGGCCTCTGCCAAATTCAGTGACGGCGTTTGGAATTTTCACTTTTGAGAAGCAATATGGAAACGTTTACTTTCTCTGCAACTTACTTATTTTACTTGCAAACTACTTTATCCACAAATGCAAGGTTATGAAAGTTACCCCCCACTTCTCTTACTTTCAAGAAGATATTAAAATGTATATTAAATCGTTATCTACCTCCTGTAACAAAAAGGCAACTAAAGCTTTGAATGCATGCTCACTTTTTGTGTGTTTTTGTATGATTTTTATCTGATCATTATTTTGTGTTTTGAGGGAAGAGTATGTCTTTTGTTGTGTGATCTGTTTATTTTATTTTTCTTATTTTTTCTCATTTATTTGTCTACTCTTTCTCTTTTGATTTGTAATTGCTGTATATTGTTTGGTCATCCTCGAACCCCTGGCTCTTTTCCTTGGCATATGTTCTGTCACACTTGTATTTCTGAATAAATGTTTAATAAAAAATAAAAAAATTCAGTGATGGCTTCTAATATAATATTCATTAGCTCGAGTGACGTGAGCCCACCAGTCCCTCCTGATTGGCTGAAAGACTGACGCTAAAAGGTAGGCCTCGGCTTATGAATATTAATTAGGGCATGTGATTGGATGCTCCAGAAAAACTACCGCGCAACGTCAGCACGGCCTTTGTTAATATTCATGAGCTCAGCCGACGTGTTTGAGTTGAAAATATTAATAGATCCGCCTTAACAGCATGCATACAGTATCTGCTCACAGACACGCAGCTTAACATGACAGCAGAATGCAGCACTCTTAATACAAAGCCAGCGTAATTAACTGACATAAGATATCTATTACAATGGATACTGTTAGTACAAACTCCGTGTAAAAGCAGGGATATTGATAATAGGTACCTGCATGCTGCAGCTTTTGCGCCCCCTCGGTCTGCTCGCCACACGGCGCATGCGCTGACACACTTCCGCCACTGGAGGCGCTGCCGGACACGTCCGGATACATTTTAGTTGTTGGGTGCTCTTTGGTCCAAAAAAAAAAAAAAAAAAAAAGTACATACACTGTGGAACATTTTTCTGATAATATCTAAGGCAGTGGACATTTGCATTAGTTCATGTTACACACACACACTTCCACCTAGATCATCTATCAGCACGGGTGCCAGATGTTGGCACTTATGAACACACTTTTTATATACAAACCCGGTTCCAAAAAAGTTGGGACACTGTACAAATTGTGAATAAAAACAGAATGCAATATATAAAGAATACCAATATAACAGCTAGTTATACCAAGAGCTTTTAGTAGATCACTCCATACTCGTGTGACAGATTACTTGGGACATGGTGAAATTTGGAGTATATTTGGAGGACACAAGAGTAGACTTTGTTGTAAATTGTTTACTTCTTATTCTAAAATATTGTATTCACAAATGTATAAAGTTTTGAAAACAGATCCCCAGTTTAATATATATTTTTAAAAAGGTCTTAAAAATGATGCGAAGAGAAAAGGCCAAGAAATTATTTGAGTGGTTTGACCAGTGTGATTTTATTTAACCCCCTTGTTTTTGGTTTATTAATGCATTTTATTTCATTTCGATTAATTTCTTGTATGGAGTTTTGTTTCTCTGTTGTAGAATGAATAACATGAATGTCTCAGCTTGTGAGGACTTGTACTTATGATAGCCTATATTGCTCTGTTAATGTTGAAATGCAAAAAAACAAAAAACACTTGTGTGACAGGTAAGCGTTTTATGTCTTTGTGTGTATTCTTTCATAATTTGTATTATGCACGTCACTTGAAACGTGAACTTGTGAAACTGAAATGAACTTTAAATAAACTGCCAAAATTAAATGGCCTAAATGTAAACTTGGATCTTGCATCTTAAACATTTATTTATTTATTTAATCCGTCCATCCATCCAATGTGGGTCCACTAGAGGAAAAGAAAAAAGAAGAAAAAAAATATATATAATTTTTTTTTTCTGGTATGGTTAAAGTCTGTAGGTTGAATGTGATCCTACTCATCTTTTTCTAGAAAGGCTGGATGGTGAACATTTTTTTGGAAATCTGCTTGGAACGTGATCATGTGAATTTCCTGCCTGTAAAAATGCTTCAGTGTCATGTAAGAATGGTAGTATAAAATAAAATTATAAAAAATCTCTGGCAGTGTACTGAACCATTTATCTTGACTTATGTTTGAACAACGTTTGTCTTATCTTGTTGATGATACCCATAATTGCACAATAATGGAGGTGATGCCGCTTGAACAAGACACTGCAGTTGTGTTGAGTGTAAACAACTCCAGCATGCAGTGACTGTGGATGTGTTTGCGTGTCAACACTGTGATTCACAGCCATGGGTTTACAAATGACTGTAAATACAGTGAAAACTGAAAAAACGAAGAATTCCCAATAGGCTACTGAAATCGCACTCTTTATTTAACATTGGTCTTAAGCTGATTTTATGTCAAGGGTTTCCCTCAAGTTCACTTAGGTGCAGCTTGTCACTTCTTGAGAAGTGGGACAAAACAGGGTGCAAAATTGAAAAAATAAAACCTTGTACTCAGAC